CCTGGAGAAGAGGAGGCTGAGGGGAGACCTGATCGCTCTGCAGCTCCTGGCAGGAGGGGGCAGGGAGGGGGGGTCGGGCTCTTCTCCCAAGGAACAGCGACAGGATGAGAGGAAATGGTCTCAAGCAGCGCCAGGGGAGGTTTAGGTTGGATATTAGGAAACATTTCTTCATGGAAAGGGTGGTCAAGCCCTGGAACAGGCTGCCCAGAGAGGTGGGGGAGTCCCATCCCTGGAGGTGTTTAAGATGTGTAGATGTGGTGCTTAGGGACATGGTTTGGTGGTGGGCTTGGCAGTGTCAGGTTAACGGGTGGACTTGATGATCTTAAAGGTCTCTTCCAACCTAAACAATTCTATGATTTTGACTGTATATCTAGTATTTATATAAAGGGCAAAGGGCAAAATCTTCTGCTAGGAAATTCTCAACATAGGATGCAGTGGTGGGGAGAGGAGTTGCACAGCCTCTTGCTGTTTAGGTGTGCACAAGCAGCATCATTTCAACAGCCTCACGAAAGAAAAACCCTTTCATAAAGGAACTCGTGCACTGGCTTGGCAAAGGGCATTTTTATTTTTCCTACATGGGAATTGTAGGAATTAAAATAAACAAAAAAAGCCACATAGTAGGGAACACCCCCCACTGACTCACCTCAATCTGTATGTTTGCTCGTGACGATTCAGGTCTGTAGGCCAGAAGGGTAGGCAGGCCAACGGAGGGGAGCGTGCGCAGAGACTTCTTGAACAGCTTCACAAAATCTTCTTTGAACTCGGAGTGGAAAACACCAAAAGCAATGTGGAGTCATATCTTTGTTCAGGGGTAAAACCATTAAGCATAAAATATATATATGCAACCTGGGTGAGTCCTTACCTCCATGTCACACAAAACATCTAAGCTGCTGAACTCTTCGGACAGGGCTGCAATAGCAATAATGAGAGTTACTGAACAGCAGTGCTGTGTTCTCAGAAAGCTTATCTTCTAGGCACATTTATTCTGGTCCTTTTTCAGCATGCCAGCCTTTTCTCACCAACCACATCGGCTGCCCGAGACGACCTTGCCGGACGCGGTCCTACGCTTTCAGAAGGGTGGCTCTGGATCTGCATGTAACCCTTCCCAAATGCCTGAGGGACTTGAACCAGGCACGGACATTGGATCAGGGCTTTAAAAAAT